TTCAACCTTTTACTTCTCAAATCTTATCATATAGAAATAAGAAATAACCAAAAAATTCCCAGTAGTGCAAAGAAAATGTACACAAGAGAAATGCTGACCCCTAAAAATATTGTTCTATCTTTCATATATTGAGTGATAAGTCAATATAGTATTTATTGTGACAGGCCTAATTGCTTGCTTTTACTAGAATGTGTTACCAATATAGATTTATCATTATCCCTTCCCATAATAAACATAAGGGCATGTTAATACAAGAACAAACCAAGAAACTTTAATATTTGGCAAACTTGAATTTGATAGTCCACTTATTCCCTCTACTACTTTACAGTTTCATTGGAGATGTGTGTGTGACAGCAAGGCAGACGGCAGGAAAGCTGTAAATTTGGAAAAGCGTGTCCTGGAATGTGCCTCGTGTCAGAACTTGCGTCTCGTTCGGGTTATGAAAGACCCCAGAAAGACGAAGGCATGCGGACAACAAGTCTCGCGTTACCTGCCCACATATGCGTTGGTGGCACAGTTAGCTCTTTTTCCAAATTTGTTTCCCAGGCGGAAGTACCTGAGAGGTTAAATGATCTGAATGTGACCACTGTACGAGTGTGAAAAAGTCTAACCACATGGAGAAAGTATGTGCTGCCTGTTGTACACATTAACATCCAGCTCACTGTACTTTTCCAGATACTGCCTTTTCCATTAATCCAAATAGGACCAGTATTGTAATGTCAGAATTCAGCTGTAGAGGCTCAGTGCACTCTTTGTGTTAGTCCTTAGACTGGAGAAACATGTCCGGAGTTGTGTAATATATTAATTACAGTTAATTGGATTGAGAATATATATATGTCGTGTATGTTTATTTGAGTACTTGTGACTTGTTTAGTTTTAGTATTACTATTATTTTATTCATGCCAAGGTGTTTTGAACTATTTGCTAGTGATTCATCATTTTGGACAGGTTTAATGCCATACTGTGGAACATCTAGGCAAAGCAATATTATCTCCATGGAGACAAGCGGAAACTGGACCATCTCATGAAAAAAATTACATAGTCAAAGGATATATGGTTCAAAAGGTGATTGAATAAGTAAAACTAGTAAAAACAACTGAAATCAAGATTCATTATTTGAAGTTTGAAGTTTTTTTCAATTAGGCCGATGTAGATGTTCTTTTCTGATTGTAAAGTAATATGCACATAATTCAAGAGAGAGGAGATGTAGACGATTTGCCAAGACCACCCCAAAAAGGGAATCCCATATCATAGAATAGATATAGACGATAACATTTTCTCACTTTATGAACATATGTGATAAAATCAGACACTCAAATCAGTTCCTTCTTGAAGCTATCAAAAGGAAAATCTTCCAGTGACAGAAGTTCAAGCCTGCTCAGTTGTGGTGGAGGTTGTGTTTTATAGGTTTTGGGGCCGCAGCACTTGGCAGGAGCTAGTGCAAGTCAACAGTTGCTTTGTGGAGTTAATAAAGTTGGCTGATAGTGCTGCCCCAGGCTCCGTCAGCACAGTGCAGAGGCAGCAATCATTCCCCGGTGGTTTCTTTCGCTCTAAGGACCCCTCTGTGTGCTGCTTTCAGGACTAAACCAACCAAGCACAGCACTGGGCTCAATGTACTCACCAAGTTACGCAACTCCAGCCATGTGATTTTTGATTTTACACTGGCTTCAGATGCTCACATGTGGAGTTTGAAAGAGACGTAAGATAGTACTAGGTGTTATACAGGCTTTTTGGTCACCTTTGTGTATTTTTCTTCAATTTTTTCTCATTATTATTTTTTAATAAAGCTGAAATAACATAACATAAAATACAGAAAAAGGCCAAAACAAACTACTCAAAGGCAAAGATTTAACAACAAAAACTCACAGTAAAAGATGAATATAGACCCAAAACTATACTATGCCACTGTTTTTCCACAGCTCCCACCACACCACTCAACCTTCCTAGCATCTTTTTTATCTGTTTTATTACTACAATAATAATCATAATCGTGTGTAGTTTGTCTGGGTCTATAAGGTTGGTCCTCTACTACAAAAGTGTATAATTAAGCAATTTGGACAGAGAGATGCCTCACAATTAATGGAATATGAAATGGTTAATTATTCAGGCACAAAATTTATTGTAAATACTCCATGTTTTTGACTAGAAAACATTATAACATGCTTTTTTTCATGGAGATGTTATTGCTTTGTCTGGAATGTTTCAAAGTATGGCATTAAACCTTTCTATCTTCATGGAGACCAAACCAGATCAAGTTACAGGTCAGATCTGTGGAGAAGCAACTCCACTCACAGTCATAGCACCTGTTTTTATAGGTATTTTTCAGCTATTAAATCACCCGTAATTTCATAAATCTAAGGTAGATCTGTTTAATATCATACTGTGGAACATTCCAGACAGAGTAGTGACATATCCATAGAAATAAGCAGGTGATGGACTCCAACCTAAAACTTACATAGTGCACCTTTAAAGCCTTGTAATACATTTCAACTGCGTTAGGTGAAAATAATTGTTCTATTGTAGATGGCGTGCGTGGGGGTGGGATTTCAGGTGAAAAAGGAGAGGTTGTCATTAGCGCGTGCAGAGGGGCTCTACGGATAGTCCCGGATCAAAACAGTCTTTTAACACACGAGCCTCCTGTACATGTTACAGCAAGAGTCTGCCCTCAGCTGCTACCTCTGCCCGTCGCTCACTAATGCATACACATGTTTTTCTTTGTCCTATTTTTCAGGTCAATAGAACATGTAATATTTGACACCTGTCTTGTGTGAATAGTTTATTGAAATATAAAAAAATTCCTGAGGTAGAGCTGTAATCTAATTTACAGTCATTGATTTTTACTATTAAGATTATATAAATGAAAAAATAAAATAGTGTTGTCATGATGCTAAAATTTCAAATACGATTTCAGTACTAAGGAATAGACTTGATACTCAGTGTTATGACCCAGGTAGATCAAACATATTAAAAAGGACCCAGGAGGCGAAAGGGTTACAAAAGTAAAAGTTGTTTTTATGTTTAAATAAATTTAAATTCACTTTAAAAATGCCAAAACCACTCCCATGCCCAAAAACAAAATAACAACTGAAAGATGGACCTGGTGAGCTAGGCAGACAGAACAAAATGATGCGGCACCGGGCCAACCCCGTACAGAGCTGTAGAAGTCGGTACCAACATCACTAACCTGAAGGAAAAAAGACAACCCCAAACTAACCTAAGGCGAAAACAGGACAGCATTTTACCAATTCTGATGCCATAATGATAATAAAAGACAGTGTTTATTTAGACTATAAAATGTGATTTTCAACATTAAAGGTGCACTGTGTAACTTTTTGGTTGGTGGTCCATTACCTGCTTGTTTCTTTGGATATGTCATTGCTCTGCCTGGAATGTCCCACAATAAAATTAAATAGTGTACCTTACATTTTCTGAATTACAAGTGGTTTTATAGCTAGAAAAACAGGCATTTTTTGTGTGAGCAGAGTTGCCTCTCCACAGATATTACTTGTTAGCCTGATTCATCAGTTGGTTTCACTTTGTAGAAACCGTCTGACCTCACAGCATTGGAATTCTTTCGCTCAGCAGTAGGCAGGTACTTTTTTTACGTCACGTATGTAATGCGCAGCTAATGGGGCTAACTGGTACATTAAGCTTTTCCCAAAACCCATTGGAAGAAGGGCAATAACGTCTTTCCCTTTGATAAAAATTCACCAAACATTCTCTTTGTTCCAGCTTTAAATCCTCGATCTTGGGAATCATTGCCAACACAGAATATATGGCTCTTTGCTGATTTGCTGGTGCCCAAACTTGCCCTTCCATGGTTTGTGCGAACCGTGTAGTGTATTTTGATTCCTGACCTAGTCGCTGGAGAGAAATGAAATTGAGTGGAGGCACTAGGTGGCGGCAGCCTGGCTAATGACCTGTAACCTCACCAAAGAGAAAATCATTTGACGGCCCTTTCACCAGAAAAATTACACAAAGCACCTTTAAATAATAGTTCTTTCTTTTATCCCATATATTTGTGTGTGCTTTGTGAGTGTGTGTGACTTTCTTTTATATTACCATGTGATATTACATCTGTGTAATTCCTCAGTTGTCCAGTTCCTAGTCCATGTCAATTAGTATGTAGTTTCCAATACTTTTGACAATCCCAGTATAAACAAGTCAGGCATCTTTGCTCTTGTGATCCTGAATGGAAAAGTCTTGTTTTTGACTTGAAAAGCCCACATCATCAGCGTTTGTGTTATTGCATATATGGCCACTGGCTGCACTTACCATGAGCCCCCTGCCCCCCTCCTTTTCAAGTCAGTATTTTCACAGCTGTAAGACCACTCTCTGCTTTTTTGTTGCTCCAGTGGAAAATAGCATGCGTGTATCTTTTGTGCTGTCTTCTTTGTAGACCCATGCAAATCCAATGGAGGCTAGTTAAAAGGATGCTTCAGGCTGTATGATGGAATGAATGGGGTTTACTAGGTCATAAACATCAAACAGGTTCATTGCGTTGGTTAGCGAATGCAAAATAGGCCAAAGCTATGATGTGGTTGTTTTCATTATTGTAAAGGAAATTACTTTATATTTTCGTCATAACATGTTTCAGTTGCTGTGGTTTCTTGACACAGATGGTTTGTAAGCAGATTAAAAAAAAAAGAAGATTAAAGAGTTAAGTTTACATGATTTCAGATTTTATAATATTTGTATAGATTTGAAGATTTTATAATAAAGACTTGATAATAAATTTTCAAGTCTGTTATTTAAATTTGAATTTTTCAACCTTATTTTAAATCTATGAACAATTTTTATCCCATTCACAGATAATTATACTTAAAATATTATCTTGATTCCTTTCAGAAATCTTATGAAAACATGTAATTGAGTATTAAAAGCCAAAATAATTCAAATCAGTATTAATCTTCTGAGGTTTGGATACATTTTCAGACATTCTAGTAAGTAAAAACTCTATAGTTGCCCTATATTTACCATGTATTATTGCTACTTTCCAGCCTTTATAGAGAACATCCAGCCCCCCTCCTGCGCTAACAGCCGTGAGGGGGCCACAGAGACGTCAGGATGGAGGCCTCCGCTCAACACCATCACTGTGTCCAAGAAGCGCAACTGGCTGCAGCAGAGCTCACTGGGAAAGAGCCATTTCAACAAGGATGACACACAAGGAATCATGGGAGCTGAGGAGGAGGGGTCCCATCTGCAGCACCCCTCGCCCAGCCCATCTCCAGACCACCTGAAGAACACAGGATCCGCCCCATCACGCCCCGCTCGGCTGCTCCTGCCACAGGTAAACACTGGATGTAGTTTGTGTACTTAGTTTGTCAAATATATGCTACCAGTCAAAAGTTTGGACACCATCGCATTCAGTGTTTTTTTTGTTTTTTTTTTCATTATCTTGACAACTTTCTACATCTTATATTCTTTGCTATATAATTTATATATCTTACTTCATATATTTGATGTATCTAATGTGTAGAAGTAGAAAAATAAAGAAAAAAAACATTGAATGAGAAGGTGTGTCCAAAATTTTGACTAATGGTGTATATAAAACATTTTTGTATATTAGCAACTACATGTCTAGTAGTTACTGTTAGATTAAAAAAATTGAAGGAGCACTGATTCATATTTTTACGGTTTTGTGCCACCTCAGGCTATTGGAATGTCAAAGATGCAAACATGTGGAGATCTGTATAAAAGCTTTGTGGTAAATAGATGAAGCGTGGCCTCATCACATGTAACTGTAAACTCATTGCGCTTTTACAGATATTATTTATATTGTACACAAATAAGCATATCTAAACATATTCAAACATGCTGTGGATTTGGAAGACTCACAACTATCTGTTTTCTTAAATGAGGTCAAGTCTGTCAAGCTTATAAAAACTAAGAGAACATAAAAGAAATCATAGAAAGCATCATAAAATCACTCATATACCTAATCATTTCTCGTTTCTTCTCTCAGGTCAACATCGGTCAGGTCAGACTGTCCCCTCACCCACGCTGCGTTGACCTGATGGAGGAAAACGATGCGGACGATGAGGGCGATATTTGGTACAACCCCATCCCCGAAGATGACGAGCCGGATCACTCCCACGGCAGACCCTCCATCAGGCTGCTGCGCCCACCCCGAGAGAGAGGGGGAGGAGTGGGGGACACCACAGAAGCACCCATAGAAAACCCCAGTGCGGGAGACAGCTCTCAACATTCCGCTGAGTCCGTACATGTGCACAGGCAAATACTGGCGTGCAAAAACCAGGAAGACTGTGGCCCCTCTGTCAGCAAACCCATAGGTAAGTCAATCACACCCTCCCACACACTCATTTCCTATACTTTTTTTTTTTCTTTTTCAATTTAGTCCCAGAATATATTTAACGTTAGAGGCAATTACTGTCTGACGAGTTGTCTCCTGGCAGATTTTTGTGGTTTGGAGCTGATTACTGCAAGTGTTGAAAAGTCAATCAGTGAATCAACAGAGCTATTACATATTTCAAAGTCTTCAGCTCAGAGCTATTGGGGGGAATAGGAGCAGACAGGAGCTGGGGCTGTCCAGTCATATCAACATATATCAGCAGCCCTCATTAGTGGAGCTTAGACATGAGACAGAAGGTATTTAAGGCTGGCATTCCTCAAGAGAAAATGGTCTACTACTACTACTACTATTATTATTACTATTATTACTATTAATACAACTGCTACTGCTGCTAAACTCTACTTCTCTACTAGCACTAGATGTTTACATAATTATTTTCCCTAATTTGGCCTTGTCAAGTTGAAGGTGTGCTATGTGACTTCTCTGTTGGAGAGACTGCCATCTACTTGTCTCCATGGTGATGATCAGTGTTGGGAGTAACACATTATAAAAGTAACAAATTACTGTAATGCACTGCTTTTTGGTGTAACATAGTAATGTAAGGCATTACAGGGAAAAAATAATAATATTTTACTCAGTACAAATGTCAGTAATGCATGCTACAATGCTTTTTTAACCTGGATTGAAGTGGTGGGTTTTTCTACATACAAATTCACTAAAATCACCGCGATATTAGCAGCAGTGAAACGCCAGAGACGCACCCGCATAGACCGTCAGGTAACCACGGGCAAAAGGACCAGCGCAGAAATCCGCGCTCAACGGCGCTTACCGCAGCTGATGTCCGATTGCGCCTTGCAGACACCCTGTTCCACGGGCTCTGGGTTCTCTCAGGGGCTGTCCTAGATTACAAGTTCTAGTCCAAGATTAGTCCTGGTTTGGTCCTGGTTTTGTCCTGGTTCAGTCCATACACGGCGCAAAAGTTCAGCATCTTCGCAGTTATTTTGGTTACTATTACTTAAAAGTAATACAATAGTAATGTAATGCCTTACATTTTAAATGCTGTAATATTGTAATGTAACAAATTACATCTGCATGTCTGTCTTGAATTTATTTCTTGCATTTGTTTAATTTTTGATTACCACCAAAAAAAACTCGAGCAGACTCTCCTCTTCACAGAACTAGCCTGTAACTTGGCCTGGTAGCATTACCTTCTTGTCTCTGTGGAGGCAGATACGTTTAATCTCATACTGTGAACCATTCCATTCAACTCAACCAGACCCTCCACCAGACAGACCATAGTACACCTTTAATTATCGGTGTACATAATGTGACAGTGTAAACATGGATTATTATGGATTACTTACTGTCTACTATACTATACATACATCCCTCTGTTGCTAAGCGCTCTATTTTGGCGTCTTCACTGTGGTACACGAGCGCTATAATGATGACAGGCAGCACACTTCTTAATAAGCTCAGGCTGCTGTGTGAACTTCCGACTTTTGTTCTCTGTGATGTGGGAACATGGTCGTTTGAACCAATTGGCACATCTTCTGCTGAGCCTATGATTACTACTTTTGACAACACTTCACTATGGCACGCAACAGTCATTTATACTTTTAGCTTAAAGGTTGACAGCTAATGGTTTTAATCTAGCATGCACACCAAGTGGTTTAAGGACCACGCAAAGGAAATAAACAAAAGCATTGTTTGTATCATGGCAATTAGTCAAATTAGTATTAAACTTTTTTTTTTTTATTTCAGGGTAGATGAGAACTGCTTTGTTATTTACTCAAAAACAAATAAACAATGTATTAAACATTATAAAAAACTAATTTCAAATAGAACCCATTTGGCTTTCCAAGATTATCTAGATTTAAAACAGATTTAAACCAAAACTATTTTAGGTCTATGTATAAACTAGGACTACACTATTGCTGTGTTAGTTCTTTTCATTTTTAGCCAAATTACACGATATCTTTGTGAGTTGTGTTTTGTTTCATGTTTAACACACAAATCCTGCTTTTTTAGGCTCCACTTTGCTTTAAACTCCATACACTTTCACTAAACTAATATGGATGATTTCAACACTGGAATTTACAATCTTTACTGAACGAAAGGTAGAAGGTAGCTGGTAACTACCATGACAAGACTACACAAGGTGGAACGGAGCATTTTGAGCTTTGGAGATGCAGACAAACTAATAATAAAGAGTTAATCAAACATGTATAAATGAAATAAAACACAACTCAGGGTATGTTTGTGAGGAGGTAACAGCATTCAAACATGTCTTAAAGCTCACCAGAGTCACTTTTGTGTAAAATAGGACCTTTAAGTCATGGAAACCAAACCTACCTATCCTTGACCAGGCCAGTCAAACACTTGTATAACCGCTGATAAACTGCTTCATTGATGGCCTCTAAACGGCATGCTCTTGTAACATCACGTGCTACTCTTGTCCTGGGAGACTTTCCTCACAGGATTAGGATTAAACTAGAGGACCTTTTGCGTCTCAATGTACTAACCCGGGACTGCTATTAATCGGGGTGCACACAGCTAATTAAATGGAGGCTATTTCAGAGCTTGAGCCTTCTTCTCTTAAATTGCAGAGAGAGGCTTTCATGCGGTTTAGTCAGTCGAGAGGGCGTAATCAGAGGCTCGCTCCACAATCCTAAGCTGAGCAGGAATGTTTAATGTAGTGTGTGTAGAATGTTGACCTAATTTTGTTTTGTCTTGGACTGAGCAATGGTTAACCAAAAGACGGAAATGTTTCTGTAAAATTCTTTACAATAATAGCACTTCTCAACAGTTAAAAGGCCTATATTACACTTTTAAAAAAATCAGTTATAATGTCGTTTAATTACAAACATACCTGGAGTTGAGTTTTGTTTCATTCTCATGTTTAACACACAAACTCCGGAAATTTAGATTCCCAAATCAAAAACACTCTCTTCCTCCTTATGATGTCATGTGGTAATACAGTGCTCCATTGTGTTTTTAAACTCTGTACGCCTTCAGTAGAATTATTTGGATGATTTCAGTCTTGGAATTGCCAGGGCTTTACTGAACAAAAAGCAAAATGTAGCTGTTAACTTGAAAACTATCACTAAATGACATCACAAGGTGGGAGCAGAGCATTTTGAGCCTTGGAGTAATTGATAGTCTTGATAGTCCTGATTAGAATATTTCTGATCCCCCTCAAATCTATCATTTAACTGCTGCTTATAACTACTGGTACCGCTACTGTCAAATACTACCGTTGAATTTAGGGGAGTTTTTGTTGAAGGTGAACTATGGTGCCTTTGCCTGGAATATTCTATAGTATGGCATTAAACCTATCTATCCCCATACAAACTAAGAGATGGAGCTACCAAGCCAAGTTACAAGTCAGATCTGTGGAGAAGTGAGTTTGCATAGGGAAGAATACATCTATTCTTTAACCAGTGTCTTGAAAAACATGCAAGGTACAAGTTGAATGCCAAACTGTGGAATAACCTTTAGTACATGGCATGAACTTGGCTACTTTGCATTTTTCCCCTGCTCTCCGGAACTGCCCGCCCTGCCCCCTCTGACTCTTCACTGTTGTTTACTTTGCCATTGATTCCAGTAGTTTTTTCAATACCATTCTACTCTGCTCTGCAGCTAACACAGGCAGCCCCCAGCCATGGTACGAGTCCTATGAGGGAAAATGCTGGTGTAGAGCAGGGCTGGATGATTTGTGGAAATTAGCTTATTGTCAATTTTCTAACCAGCATTACAATGCGATTTATGTTTTAATTATAGCATAATTCAGCAAGGAGACATCAGGTTACAGCACTAAACTACATTGCAAGTCAGATTTGTGGAGATTTGCCCATTTGCACTGAAGGAATTGCTGGATAATGTTAGATATGTTTAATGTCATACCATGGAACATTCCAGGGAAAGCAATAACATGTCCACAGAGACAAGCAAGCAGCGGCCCTTCACCAGAAAAGTTGCACAGTGCTTAAATGCACCAACTGACAAACTAATACAATCATAAGTATTTGAGAAAAATGTTTGTGCAGATCTAAACTACAGGGTTAGACGTTTTTATGCAGAATAAGACAGGATATTTAGATGTTTGTAGAAGAAATTATGGTACTTGCGATGCCAGTTTGCTAATTGTATCTACTCAGACAGCTATTTTGATTAGATTGCAATGAATCTTGTAGACCAAAAGCTTGGCTGCAGTGTGTACGCCGACCTCATGACTGAATCAAAGGAGATAGGAAGGAGGTAGGAAGTTGAAATGATCCTCTTGTTAAGTGTAGTTACAAGCCTGGTCTAACATCACAAAGCTGCAGTGGAGCTTTTAGGGCTGTGCAATGACACTGCAGTGCTGTGTGAAGGAGGGGAGTGGTGGGCTGTGCTCGCTCCACCCAGTGTTTAGTGTCTGATGAGGAGGTACCATAGACTAGAAAACTGGGAAAATGAAATGTAAACGTGTAAGAACAAGGTTTTGGAATTTAGTGTCAGATTTTGAAGGGAAAAAAAGAGAAAAATTAAATGAAAAATACTTTAGGGATTTTCGTTATAAAATGTGCAAATAAGGATAGAGATGACATGTATTTTTATAATGCTGATACTTATAATGTCTAAATATTGTATAGATATTGGTAGGGATGTAACAATATGCAAAATATCGTGATATTTTATTGCCATAGTTGTCACAATAATATTGTGGACCATCACAATATGTCGAATTACAAGTCTCTTTGCTTAAATTAAAAGTTATGGTGCAGCGGTAGCTAAAAAAAGACTGAGGGAACTACATAGACCATGATCCTGTGCTCCATTTCAGTGTAGACTAAAAGAAGAAATAACAGTTCTAAGCACTTTTAAGTCTTCGTTCTTTGGATTAAGTCTTGCCAAGGCATTTTAAGAGAAAAAAGTATCATATTATGTATGTTGTGAAAATATCGTACCGAGAGGTTTGGATATTGTTACATCCCTAAT